GCTCAGGGGTTACTCCTGGCTCTGCACTCAGGAATTACCCCTGGCGGTGCTCAGGGGACCATATGGGATGCTGGGATTCAAACCTGGGTTGGCTGCGTGCAAGGCAAACACCCTACCTGCTGTACTATCGCTCCAGCCCCTGAAATCAAGGTTTATAAATTTGAAAATAGAGAATTGTATTATATTCTATGAATTATATTATTTAATGTAAAGGGATTATTATGAATACTTGACTTAATTTTTATCTGTAAATTTTATGTATTTTATAATTTATTCATTTAATTTTTTCAGGTCAGGTATTTCTTAACTGACTAAATTCTTAGGTTTATTTTGCAATAGCACAGCGGTAGGGCGTTTGCCTTGCACGCAGCCAACATGGCCAACCCGAGTTCGATTCCTCTGCCCCTCTCGGAGCGCCTGGCAAGCTACCGAGAGTATCTCGCCCGCCCGGCAAAGCCTGGCAAGCTCCCCATGACATATTCGATATGCCAAACACAGTAACAACAAAGTCTCCAACGGAGACGTTACTGGGCCCGCTTGAGCAAATCGATGATCAACGGGAGGGCCTTTACCTTTACCTTTACCTTACCTATGCTTAAAGTTAAACACTTATTTTAAAATATTTAATTAATATTTTTATTTTTTAAGTTAAGGTAGCATATTTACAATAATATGTTAATATTTATGACCTTGGTGTACAGTTATGGCATCATGACCAAGTTGCCTAATACACTCCCTCAGTGTCCTCATGTTATTTCTCATCCGCTTCTTTATTTCCCTGTAATCTCAGTCCCTCTGACCAAGAATTTGCCACCGTTCGTTATTATTTTCTTGTTTTGTTATGCTGCATACCACAAATAGTTAATCATGCTCTATTTGTCCTTCTCCCTTCTGACTTATTTCACTTACTATGATACCCTCTAGTTTATTCCAAGTTATAGAAAACTGAAAGGGTTCAAATTTTCTTCCAGCTGCATAGTACTCCAGTATTTGCATGTCAGGGTGGGGAGCACCTTCTTTATCCAATCACATACTGCCGCATCCTTGGGTTGCTTCCATACTCAAGCTGTTGCACCAAGTGCTTCAAAACACGTGGCTTTACACACATCTTTTCAAATTAAAAAATGTTTTTGGAATAGAAGTCAAGAGGTGGGATTGCTGGGTCATACAGAAACTATATTCATACTTATTAAGAGGTCGCCATATTCTTTTCTACAGAGGCTGAACCTGAAGAAATTTCCACTAATAATGAATAAAGTTTCCATTTTTATTACATTCCTGCCAGCATGGGAACATGGGTTGTTTCTAGTCTTTATGATATATGCCATACTCTGTTGTGAGATGATAATTCGTTGTCCTGTCAGTCTGAATTTTCCTAATATGGGGCTTTTTGTCTGACATAAATATTCTATTAGACACATGTATATGTAATACATGTGTATGAATAAACATATTTCTAATAACTAAAATGCATAATCTAATTTAGAAATTTACTCCAGTCATTTTCACCGTGAAATTCATCATCCTTCGTTGTGTGCATTAATTCTGCAATTAAAATGCAAAGCATTTGAGAACAAGAGTCAAGTTTTTTTTTTATATTTACTCTATCTTGGTTTCTAACAGTACTTTCTATGTGCATTCAGTTTAAAAATATTTGCAAGATGAAAGGAAAGAGAGGGGCTGGAGCGATAGCACAGCGGATAGGGCATTTGCCTTGCATGTGGGCAGACCCAGGTTTGAATCCCAGCATCCCATACGGTCCCCTCTGCACCGCCAGGAGTAATTCCTGAGTGCAGAGCCAGGAGTAACCCCTGAGCATCGCCGGGTATGACCCAAAAAGAAAAAAAAACAAGAAAGGAAAGAGAAACGATTAATAAAAAGTCAAAAGTTTCAGATATTGTTAAGTTGACAAAACATGATTTTGTGTGTTTCTCAAATAGGGAAAAATTTTTTAGTTTTGTTTGACATAACTAAACTAGTCAATCAAATATTTGTCGAAAAGACTATAATTGCTCTCTCATGATGCAATAACTGCATTTGTAGTTTAGAAATTATGAAAAGAGCATAGACTTTTGAAGAAAATTTTAATTCAACTTCTTACTAGAATTTACTCTGAATCCTACTACTTCAAAATTTTCTCCCTCAGGAAAAGATTGTTAGTTTGTTGCAAATGACATTCTAGTTTATCTTGAAGAGAGAATAATTTGAACATCTATTCTGCTTGATTCTGATTTGAAGTTGAGATCAAGCATGGAAAATGTCTTTGATTTTTAGGATTCCCTGTCTATTACTAAACATTAATTCAACAAATATGATTGAGCATATACTGGGCATATGCTTACATGTTTAATGATATATATTAGGCACATGTATATATAAAAATTTGTATATTAGACAAAATGCAAAGATCACAAGGTGTAAACGGGGACATATATCAATCCTAATAAAGGTGAATTCCCATATTGAAAATATGTGAATGGGTTGAAATTGGAATAAATGTTGACCACATTAAAAATGTTTGAAGACAGATTATTGGACAGTGAGAGGAATTAATTAAAACATGAGAGAATTAAACAGTATTATTTATGTGAGAACAACCTAAAAACAGATTGTTATTTGAGTATTTAATATACACAAGAATGGATGCAAATGAAACTAAAAAGTTTCAAATTATCTAAAATTAATATTAGATTTATTTGCAGGAACTCTGAAATATGTTAAATGAAAAGTGACTTATAGAAGACTGAACCATAGAAAAAAATGTAATTTGGAATGTGTAGAATCAATTTAAGGAGTAAAAGGGGACCATTATTAGAGGAAAGAACAAATTTGAATGCTGTGATATTCATTCCAGTAGAAATGATACTCTTAATTATGTTGTGGTAGTATTGAGAACGTAGTTAGGAAATACTTAGAATAGAACCACCATTTAGCAACTTCTCAGCTATGAAGTTGTGTGGGAAGAAATAATAAAGAGAGATGTCCAGGCTGTTAACTATAGCTCTTAATTCCAAAGAAGATGCAGGTAGGAGGAAGAATAAATGGTAAATTCAACTTAGAATATATCAACTTTGAGGTAGTTTTGTATTGTCCCCAGGAAGTAAAGAGATACGACAACCTAGAAATAAAATAATTAAAAACAACAATATAAAGCAAGTGAAAACAGAGATAGACAAATGGAACTATCTTAAACTAAGAAGCTTCTGCACCTCAAAAGAAACAGTGACCAAAATACAAAGACAGTCTACAGAATGGGAAAGGATATTCGCCGAATACACATCTGACAAGGGGTTGATATCAAGGATACATAAAGTATTGGTTGAACTCCACAAGAATAAAACATCCAATCCCATCAAAAAATGGGGCAATGAAATGAACAGAAACTTTCACAAAGAAGAAATCCGAATGGCTAAAAGGCACATGAGAAAATGCTCCACGTCATTAATCATCAGGGAAATGCAGATCAAAACCACAATGAGATTTCATTTCACACCACAGAGACTGGCCCATATCCACAAGAACAAAAGCAACCGGTGCTGGCGCGGATGTGGCGAGAAAGGGACCCTCCTTCACTGCTGGTTGGAATGCCGACTGGTTCAGCCCTTTTGGAAAACAATATGGACGATTCTCAAAAAATTAGAAATTGAGCTCCCATTTGACCCAGCAATACCACTCCTGGGAATATATCCCAGAGAGGCAAAAAAAGTATAGTCGAAGTGACATCTGCACTTGTTTGTTCATTGCAGGACTTTTTACAATAGCCAGAATCTGGAAAAAACCTGAGTGTCCGAGAACAGATGACTGGTTAAAGAAACTTTGGTACATTTACACAATGGAGCACTATGTAGCTGTTAGAAAAGATGAAGTCATGAAATTTACATACAAGTGGTACTACATGGAAAATATTATATTAAGCAAAATGACTCAGAAAGAAAGGGATAGACATAGAAAGATTGCATTCATCTGGGGAACATAAAGTAATAAAACAGGAGACTAACACCCAAGAATGGCCGAGATCAGTACCAGGAATTTTACTGTCCCCATACCTCCACACCAAGATGAAGAAACAATGCAAATACCCACCACATGGGGAGGACGATGAAAAGAGTCCAGAAGGCTCAGTAGGTGCTACTCAGCTAGAAGACTTCTCTAAGAAAGAATTCAGATATGAAGTAATGAAGATGTTCAATGAACTCAATGAAACAGTCAGACAGATATCCAGTCACATGAGAGAAACAATCAAGAAATTACGGGAAGAAATGTGAGCATTATGTTTTAATAAAATTAATTTTAGGGGGAAAATTATTTGGGTAGTGGAATGATGGTACAGAGGGAAGGGTATTTGCTTTGCATGTAACCGACCAGGGTTTGATCCTCAGCATCCTTTATGGTTCCCTGAGCACCAACATGAGTTATTCCTGAGTGCAAGAGACAGGAGTAAACCCTGAGCTTCACTCAGTGTGGCCCAAAGCAAAAAGTTAAAAAAAAAAGTGATTGAGTACGAGGACTGGAGAATTAGCTCAGCAGATAAGGTGATTTCTTTGCACCCTGCTGACCCAAATTCAATCCCCAGCATCCCATATGGTCCTCCAAGCCTGCAAGGAGTGACCCTTGGATGTAGAGCCAGGAATAAGTCCTGAGCACCATTGATTGTGATCCAATAACAGCAACAAAAAAAGTAAATGGGAATAAAACTCTGAAAATCTCTTGGACTTAACCCTGAGAAAGTGGTTGTGTATGACTATCTATAATGGTTTATGAAAGCCTGAAAATAAAACTCCCAAACCAGGAGAAATGTCTATAATACTTTACAAAACTGTTCAAGTTACACAAAATTATTTTATTCAATCAACATTCCATCAATTTCATCTAGGGTTTTCATTTACCTAGATTACTGGAAAGTTAATCTGTCAAATTGTTTGTGCTCGTTTCCTATTATATTTTAATTAAAGTACAAAATGATCTGATATTTCTGTTGTTTGTTTTTTCATAAAACGTACCTTTCCCAGCCTGTAACCAATATTGTCTTCTTAAGAGCTAAGATCTGTGTAATATCCACTGCTCCCTCTTGCCCAACATTTAATATGTAGTGGCAATATCCATTGAAGTCCCATATCTTTAAGAAAAAATACTTAATTAAAATCACTTTTGAGACTAAAAAGGAAAATTTATTCTTTAGTGAGCAAAGCAGCACAGTATAATGTTATCAGTTCTTTAATTTTGTGTTTATATCATCAAGTACTGGTACACCCAATATATGAAATGAATAAAATCCTCCCACTACTTAAAGTGATCATTATATTTATCTGTTTGTAACCATGTATGTCTATCTCAACAATGATTGATGTAAAGGCTATAAATTAATGTTTTTATGGGAAAGAATGTATAAAAGTATGAAGAATCATATATTGTAGTATTTCAAAATATTGGTTCTTTGTTTTCTAATTTCAAACTTCCTCATTTATGAAAAAGAAGCTTACTACTCAAGTATGCTTAAAGGATTAAAAACCAAATACAGAAATTAAAATTTTTTTCCCAAACAAAAGCCCAGTTTCAGATAGTTTTACTAGCGAGTGTTATCAAACTTTAAAGTTAACCTACTATCTGTCCTTCCAAAGTTCTTCAAAAAAATTAAAGAAATATGAATTCTTCAAAATAGATTCTATAAGGCCATTATTACTCTGATACCAATAATAGATTGTGACATTACATTTGGAAGGTGGGGGTGGGGTTTGTCCTGTAGGTACTTAAAAGTTATTCTTGGCTCTGTGCTCAGGAGTTACCCCTGGCACTCCCCAGGAGATCAAATGTCACAGTTTTAGTAACCAAGTACAAGTCTGCCTTATCCTTTACTCTAATAACAGTTACTTTCAAAAATAGGAATAGCAAGGGGCTGGAAAAATAATACAGTGGTAGGACATTTGCCTTACTGACCAGGGTTTGATTCTGGCACCCCAGATGATCCCCTGAGCCCGTTAGCTTGATTTCACAGCCAGGAGGGAGCAAGCCCTGAGTACTACCAATTTAATCCCTCACCCCCACCCCCAAAAATGCAAGGAGAGTAACAAAGGAGTCATGTCACTATCCTCCCGTTGTTCATCAATTTGCTCAAGTGGGCCCAGTAATGTCTCCATTGTGACAATTGTTACTGTGTTTGGCATATCGAATGTGCATCACGGGGAGCTTGCCAGGCTTTGCCCTGCAGGAGAGATACTCTCGGTAGCTGGCCAGGCTCTCCGAGAAGGGCGGAGGAATCGAATTTGGGTTGGCCATCTTGACTGTGTGCAAGGCAAACGCCCTATCCACTGTGCTATTGCTCCAGCCCAACAATGGAGTATTAATGTCATTCTTCAGTTTGAATTGTTCTCCAAGATGGGAGAATCACTTGCAACTTTTGCCTTCTATCCACCTTATCAGGGCTCCCATCAATTAGATTACTTTACTTAGACACAGACCTCTAGTCCATATTATACCATATTTAGCTTTTCAGAGGACAACTTGTGCTAATTTCTTGATAATTGACCACAACATCCATGTTGTTCTGCCCACATGTGCAGATAACTTTCTGGTTTCTTCCCTCTGCTATTCACTGGAAAACATTACATATAGCCATTTTGACTAGATGTAAGGGACATCTAGTCAATAACCTCTTCATTTATGACAGAAATTTAATTGTCATTCAAAGCTTATTCAAGAAAGTTTCTTCTATTGCCTAAAAGCATCACAAGCCATTTCCAATCAATTACTGTCATTCAAAAGCTGAAAGGAACAAAGGAACAAGGAGATTCACTGTTCAGCAAAATTTCAAATAGAAAATATCTAATATTGGATGGAAATATGATTATTTCTCAAAAGTGGACTTGGTCCAATAAGAAATTACTAAGTGTAATAATTTGTTGTTGTTTGGGGAACACACTTCATGCTCAGGGCTTACTCCAAGCTCTCCTCAGGGTTCACTCCTGGAAGTGCTTGGGAATCAATGCCAGAGATTGAACCAGCATTAGAAAAATGCAAGGCAGTGCCTTCACCACTCTACCAGCTCTCAAGCCTCTGGAGAGCTATATTTTATTTGGAAAAATCAGTTATTTTTTAACATAAAATGCTATCAATTAAGGATATAAAATAAGTTTATGCTTGTTCCTCATACTGTACTTCATTTATCTTTCTTATCTTCAAATAAACATGCAAATTAAAATAAGGGCTGTATTTTCAAGGGCTGGAGCGATAGCACAGCAGATAGGGCATTTGCTTTGCATGCAGCCAAACAGGCTGTCCTGAGTTCGATTCTTCTGCCCCTCTCGGAGAGCCCGGCGAGTTACTGAGAGTATCTCGTCCACATGGCAAAACCTAGCAAGCTACCCATGATGCATTCAATATGCCAAACACAGTAAAAACAAGTCTCACAATGGAGACGTTACTGGGCCCATTTGAGCAAATCAGTGAACAGTGGGAGGACAGTGCTACAGTGCTACTGTATTTTCAAACACTTATATTCTGAACATTTTGCATTTATTTCTTTTTTGGTGGAGCAAGCCTTCACAGGTCTGGTGGGCTAGTCCTTGTGATAATGCTGGACAGGTCAAAGCTGAAACCTGACAATATGGTCTGGACTGATCCCTACAATGCTGCAGGTCATCAAGGCCATTCTAGACTGCTCAGGGACCACTACAGCCATAAGCTGTGGTGCTGGGTAGGGGAAACATGATCAAATGATCAAAGCAGGTTTCTAACATATTCCTTAAAGCTATATTATCTCCAGCATCCCCATGTGTGCTTTATTTAAAAGTTTACTACATTACCCTGATTTTTCATTGTATAAACTGAGAAAAAGAAAAATAGAGACATTACATGAAACATAAAAATTATTGAGACCTTTATCTTGTTCTTCATAATTATCCTCTAGTCCAAATTCTGGGACAGGCTTTCAGAAATAAACCCATGTTTTTTGGGTTTTTTTTTGTTTGTTTGTTTGTTTTTCTTTTTGGGTCCATGTGGCGATTCACAGGGGTTACTCCTGGCTCTCATTCAGGAATTACCCCTGACGTTGCTCAGGGGACCATATGGGATGCTGGGAATCAAACCTGTGTCAGCCACGTGCAAGGCGGCTGTGCTATTCCTCCAGCCCCTAAACCCATGTTTTTAAGTTGTGTTTTTATCTAGGTGATTAGAGGCTGCCCCAAATGTCTCTATCCCTCTCGGAGTGCCTGGTAAGCTACTGACAGTATCCCACCCGCAGGGCAGAGCCTGGAAACATACCCGGGGCATACTCAATGTGCCCAAAACAGTAATAAGGATGGTCCCATTTCCCTGACCCTGAAAGAGCCCCCAATATGCCATCAGGCTACACTAGCTCATGACAGAGACAAATGGAGATGTTACTGGTGCCCGCTCGAGTAAATCAATGAGCAACAGGATGACAGTGACAGTGATGGTGATTTTTATCTAGAAAAATAAAAACATCTATTAATTTGTCCACAGAGATTTTCCTAGCAATTTTGTTATTAGTTGGTTTAAGTTTTTAATTCTTCTTATAGTGTCTCATCTCTGCTCTTTCAAGGCTATATATATATATATATATATATATATATATATATATATATTTCACAATCACGATCATCCTGGTGTTCGTCAATTGCCTCGAGCAGGCACCAGTAACGTCTCCTTTATCCTAGCCCTGAGATTCGAAAAAGTGCCACATTCAAGGCTCTTTCAGGGTTAGGAGAAAGAGACCCATCATTGTTACTGGTGTTTGGCATATTGGTACGCCACGGGGAGTTTGCCAGACTCTGCCGTGTGGACAGGCTGCACTCGGTAGCCTGCCAGGTTGTCAAAAGCAGGAATGAGATAATAAAGTGTCGTGCTTCCGAGAAATATATATATATTTCTCCTCACCCAAGATAGTTTCCTCATATACGGGAAGAAAAGCATCTCTGTGTTGTCTCACCTTTACAGTCCCATCTGTGCTGCCAGTCAAAAGCCGGGTCTCATTTGTATCAAAGGCCATGGTGCTTATTTCTGCATTGCCATGGCAACTAGTAAACTGTTTGATTTTCTGCCCAGTGTCTATCATCCAGAAGAAAACATTCGACCCAGCATCCGAGCTGATTACCTAAGAAAAAAATAATATTGTGGAGAAACTAAATATAGACTAAAAGTCAACCATTTTTAATTCAAGAGAAAAATATCTCGCCTTTGTATTTCCACTACTGAAATCCCCAATAGTTAAAGATATTTAAATAATGCACTTCTTTTCCTTCGGTTAAGCTGGCAACATTTCAATTTCTAGCTAGAACTGAAATAATGCAGTAATGATTCTCTTTATCTGAAAAGATAGGAATCTACTTCTACTTCCCATTCAACTTAGTATCTAGAGGACATTCTGAAAAATATCCTATTGAAAATAAGATTGAAAATCTTTTGCACTTAGATTAGAAAGCTGATGTTATTAGTCACAGTGCTCAATAATATTCACAAAATGGAAAGAGACATTTTTATTAAATCTTGACTTGCATTTAGGATTCAGAAAATACTATTATGAGACAAGTGTAATTGTATAAATTTCTAGAATTATTGATTTTAACATCATCTCTATTTCCTTTCTCATAGTGTTACGTACAGCTGAATAAAATTATTGATTGGTCATACAATCAAATACAAGAAGGTTAACTGTGAACTTGCAAATGTACTTCAAGATGAAGGGAGAAAACACAAGGAAGAGTAGGATTATAGATATCAGTCTGATAGTGAAACTCTTAAGAGTAGGAAGGAGACTGCTAACTTCAGCTCAAGGTATTTATATATTCTATAAGAGATTTATGGGTCATAACAACCTTATTAATAAGATCTGGGGGATTGAAGAAAGGAACAAAAGAAAAATAAAACTCTAAACATGCAAATGTACAGAAGAGAAGTTGAAAGAATATTTAGATCTAGGGAGAATTTAACAAATATATTCATCTGCTTTGGTATTGATAGCCATTGTAAAAGAGTAAAATTATTAAGAGTACGTTAAATTTAATAAACTTTAATCAAAGGGTTAAGGTTTAATATTCAGAGGGCCTCGATAATTGGTTCTTATGCAATGCAGGTGTGCATTTATTTATTCATTCATTTTCTCTCTCAGCATCACTGACTATGATCAGCTTCACGACAGTGATGTTCTGTTAATGAATACAAGCTCTCAAAGAGGCTACAGTTTTTGCTTGTACATTAAAATGATCTTGGAGCGTTAAAACTATGATCACATACCATACCAGAGACAGTGACTTAATTTAACCAAGCAGGCAGTTTAGAAAATGCACACATCTTGGTTAAATGTAATCCCTGAGATAAGTATTACAGGGATAGGTAGAGAAACAGAAAAGAAATATAAATTTCAACTGATGCTACAAACTTTGGTATATTAACATGAGTGTTCTAAAGAAGAAAAATTAAAATCTACTCATTAGGTTTTATGGAAGAAAAGATGAGGAAAGCCAATATGAGATTGAAATGGAAGCACGAACGTATTGAATGCCAACCTTTTCCCTTTCTCATATGATTATTACAAAAATTCTTTGCGACTGGATTGATAGTACAGTGAATAAGATGCTTGCCTTGCATGCCGCTGACCAAGGTTCAATCCCTGAACCCTCTAAGTCCCACCAGAAAAGATTGTTGAGTTTAGAATCAGAATAAAGCCCTGTGCACCCTGAGTATTGCCTCAAAACAGAGTTCTAAAAGTAAGCAATGATACCACTCTCCTCAATTTACCAGTGACAAAATCGAATTAACCAAGTAGTATATCTAAACTACCATAATGAGGTTTGAATCCTGAGATTACTATGATGCATATAATAAGGTCTTCTTCTATTTCAGCAAAGTATTCAGAAAATTTTGAGTGAACTTTGAATAAATAATTTAGAGATCATTGCAAGCATGAGGAACAATAAAACTTTAGTGGAGCCAGAGTGCCTAGCAGAAGATCAGATAAAATAGTCTTATAACATATATTTGGGATACTCTAATGAATAATGTCAAAGAATAGTGAGTAATGTGCAAAAAGTATTCTTGAGAGGGAAAAAGTACTAGTTCCCAACAATTGGTCAGTGGGGTATGTGACTCAAAATAAAGCTAAGAACAGTGAAATTTTTCTTAATGATGAGTTGTTTCTCTTGGTTTATGAAGACACCTTTAACAGTAGTGCATAGGAAAAAGATCATTATAAGATTTGGAGGGCACCTTAATTACTGTGGCAAGAAGTGCTCATCTATGACAGTGTTTCTGGAAGCAGAGATAAGGAATTAAAAATAAGGGGAGTGGGAGGTCTCCTAAGCAAACATCAAAGACTGTGAAGGATTTTATTATTTCCATTCTAGCAATTTTATTGAGCATTTATTATAGTCTATGCATTTCAAAACTAATAGTCATTCCATGGTATAAGATTATGGAAAAAAACTGTAAATCTATTTTCAAAGAATTGTTTATTTGAGACTGTCATGATCCACATAAAAAGTAGATGTGACCGTTCAAAAGATAATGACATTTGCTGCTTTGTTCTTTTCTTCCCCTGCTCATACTTCTGACTCACTACACAATTCATAAGTTTTAAGTACCTTTCTTTTCTCATGTAACAATATTGAAATCGGAATAAATGATTATATTAAAATGTAGCCAAACAGATTTTATTTTATGGCAATCTGCCTAAAGGTGAGTTCTTCAGGAAAATAAAGTGTTAAAAAACTAGGAAAGATGTCACAATCATACAAATAGTATTAACCAAAATCTAATCTCAATATAGCAATATCAGATTTCAAGAATGACCAGTCAAGTAGAAAAATGTAAAGGTCTAGTATATGAAAACAACAAATATCATCTCTTGGTGGATAAAACAGTTAAGACTACAAGAAGGGAGGACCCTGGGCTGCCCTTCAGCCCTGAGTTTCTTCCTGTTTGTCCCCAACATGGCAGCCAGCTTTCTCTTGCCCCAGGTCAGTCATAATTCGAACCTGGGACTCTGATTTCCCTGCACAGGCACCCAGGCATCAGGACCCTAGGCCGCCCTCCATCCCTGAGCCTCTTCGCATTCATCCCCAACACAGCGCCTGGCTTTCTCCTCCCCCAGGTTGTACCCCCCACACACAAACACACACACACATCAGGTACCCATAGGAGCGTGGCCTCTGCAGAAGTGGGAGTGGCCTCTGCAGAAGTGGGCATGGCCTAAATTTGGGCCTGGGAATGCTCACGTGGCAGCAGGTAATTACTCATACCCAACAATCTCATGTAACAATCTCAATCTCCATACAACCACACCAACATGAGGAAACAACGCAAATACTCACCATGAGGAGAGGACGATGAAAAGAGACCAGAAGTCTCATTAGGTGTTACTCACCTAAGGGAGCTCTCTATAAAGATTTCAGATATAAAGTAATGAAGATGTTCAATGAACTCAATGAAACAGTAAGACAGATATCCAGTAAATTAAAGGAGGACATGAAAGAAACAGGAAGAAATGAGAGCAGAAATTGGAAAGCTATGCATAGAAATGTCACGAATAAAAGATTTGGTAAATGAAAAAAAAAACCTCAGTCTGTGCCCTCAACAGTAGAATGGCTACAGCTGAAGACAGAATCAGTGAGCTGGAAGATGAGTGCAGGAAGCCCACAGGCAACAACAAACAATGGCAAAAGAACTCAAAATAGCCGTAGAGTAAATCAGAGTCCTAAGGGATGATTCCAAGAGGAACAAAATTAGAATCATTGGAGTACCAGAAGGTCACGAAAACAGTCCCAATGAAAAAGTCACGATAAACAAATCATTGCTGAAAAGGTGCCAGAACTGGAGAATGCAGGTGTCCAGATTCGAGGAGCCTGAAGGGAACCAGCTAAAAGAGACCCTTACAATAGTTGGAATGATGGATGCCACAACAGAGACAAAATACTGCAAGCAGCAAGGTCAAAGAAGGAAATTACATACAAAGGAGAACCCCTTAGACTCACAACAGATCTATCAGAGGAAATTCTCCAAGCCCGAAGGCAATGGTGGGATACAGTTTAAAAACTCACTGAATTGAACACTTCACCAAGAATACTTTATCTGGCTAAACTCTCACTCAAACTCAAAGGAACAGTACACTATTTTTTGAATAAACAACAGCCCAGGAACTTCATAGACTCAAAACCAAACATAAAAGAAGGGCTAAAGGGGCTACTGTAAGACAAGACAAAACCATACAAGCACAACAAACCCTTACAGAACGATGGAAAAAAAAACCCATAACAATAATCTCTCTCAACATCAATGGTCTAAATTCACCAATTAAGAGACACAGAATGGCAAAATGGATTCAGAGACAAGACCCCAAAATACTGCTGCCTAAAGGAAACAGATCTGAACAATCAGAACAAACACAGATTCAAAGTCAAAAGATGGAAAACAATCCTGCAAGCAAAAAAACCCCTCAAAAAAGCTGGGGTGGCCTTACTAGTATCAACCAACATAGATTTCAGGTTGAAAAAGATTAGAAGGGACAGTGAAGGCCATTTTTTATTAATCAAGCTATATGTACTGCAGGAAGAAATCACACTCCTAAACATATATGCACCCTATGAGGAACCAGCCAAAAACATACAACAACTGCTAGCAGACCTTAAAAAGGACATTACAAGCAAGACAATAGTAGTTGGAGACTTCAACACTGCCTTATCACCCCTAGATAGATCAAGAAGATTAAAACTCAGCAAGGGAAAAATGACTTTTCAAGGAAGAAATAGAAGACAGAGAACTAATAGATCTAAACAGGACTCTATGCCACCCCAAAGAAAGAATACACATTCTTTTCCAGTGCACATAGAAATTTTCCACAATAAACCATGCACTGGTTTTTATAGTCTCTGAGTCTTGGCCGTTGATGGGATTACACCGTGCCAGGGGGCCAGTTGGTGGGTGTGACCCCCACCTACTGGAATTTTATAAAAACCAGCTCCCGGAAGAAGAACAGTGCAGTCTCCTGCCCCCGGGCCTGACTGTCCTCGCCGCTGGGGCCCCTTGGAGGGGAGCGGGTTGAGCTTTCCTACCCATCCCGACCAGGGCTCCAGCAGCCAAAGACCTCCAGGACCAGTCACC